CCCATCCCCCAATCTTACAGGAGTCAATGGTGAATGTTGAAATATACTTCAAAATGAGTCCTGTGGAGGCCTTTGCTCCAAAAAGAGATGATGAAGTTTGGGTTTATTTTTTTAAAAAAATGTTCTAGGGTAAGAGCTAGAATGGAAAGGTTTATATGCAACTGCCACATTTTCATAAGAACAATTATCAGGATTGTACTCCTTGGCTTCCTGGTTTTCTAGATCTCCGCAGTTCTTTTTATTGAGCAACATACTTTTAGAGCAAATGGGATTTCCACTGAAAAAGGGTGCCTGCTGTTTTCAAAGCAGGTAGGGCATTGATTCTTTTACTTCCCCGCTCCCACCCCCTGAAAAGATGAGAAGTCCTTGTATTCCTCACCTATACAAGTGTGGGTAGAACTTTCCTTATGTCTCAGGTATCCTACGCCCTGTGGTACCTCACTGCCTCTTAAACGGAAAGAAACGCTTTGCTGAATTGTTGACTTATACTGGCAGCTAATGTGATGAAGCCGAATGTGTTGACTTATCCTGGTGACTAACATGGTCTCACTAATGGGTTCAGCTGAAGAAAAGGGCTGCTGTTGTATGCCAATGGCCCACTGGTGCAATTTGCTCAGTAGGCTTTGCTGAGATTTAAATTGCATTTCCTTCACTGTTTGCTCTTCTGGAATTGACAGAGTGGATAGGGAGAAGCCTGCTCTTACTTACTACATTGAGGGTGAAGGGGGGCACTGCGAGGCTGGCAGCTGTAGTTCATTTCCAGTCTAATCCACATGTCAGCAGGGTCACCCCAAAACACTCTACGACATTTTCATCTCAGCAACGCTTCCTTTGTGCTGTTCCTTGACTGTTTTGCTCTCTCCCCACACCATGAATTCCTGCCCTCAGAGCAGGAAAACTGCTGTTACAGACTGGAGGAATGTCAGGGTTTAGGGCTGTTAATGTGAAACCTTGACAGGCAGTGACAGTATGGAAAGTTGTTTGTGCCCTGGGGTTTCTCTGGAGGCACTTTCTTTTATTTCCCTTTGTTTTTTTAAAAAAAATCTTTTATTGGCTGCCTTGTTCTTCTTCTGTTGCCTTCTGACTTTCAAACATGCCCAGTGGAAAATTAAGGGCCACAGAAGGAGTGAGGAAATGAGGAGCTGCATCAGGGTTCAAATATCTTTGGCCATGCAGATACTCTTTCTTTTTTTTCATGCAGTGAGATTTTTCCACACAAGTTTCCACCCCTCCAAGAAATATGAACATTTGCAGAATTTCTCAGAATTTTCATAGTCTTTCTTTTTGACCCAGAAGAAATACCAAGCTGCTCAGGATTATGAGAATTCCTCCACAAAATGGCATCGTTCAAGCACAGGATTCACTTGGAATGGGTAGAAGAAACCCAAAGTTGTACAGAATTGCAACCATTCCTGTGAAGGGTGCTATCGTTTGTGTGCAGGATTAACTGAAATGGACACTAAGCTGTGCATAATTTTGTAGTCCCTTGTGCAGAGCAACAAGCAATAAGTAAATAAGGAAGTGAGCAAGTAAGGAAGAAAATGGTCTTGGTGGGGTTCTCAGCTTGGCGAACCTGAGAAAAATCTCTGAGAACAAGATGTTTTCTGAATACTCATCACATGAATAATCTCCAGAGTAATTATGCAAGAAGATGTGTTCCTTTTAATCACAGACTAATTTTATTCAGTATTTCAGGATAAGGGACAGGCAGCAACATTGTTTCTGCTGAACAAGGTGACACAGGTAGCAAGAAAAACTACCAGTGTAAAACACCTTAAGACAGGTAGTGCAGACAATCCAGCAGGCATCAGTACAAGCTTGGAGCTTCCGGGATGGCATTTGTATGGATTGGGATGCCTGCATCTGATGTCTGGCTCGAGTTCATTGTTCTCAGAACTTGGAAAAGTTATTTTCTTGGACTACAACTTCCAGAATGCACCAGCCAGCAGGGCCAGGCCAAAAAGTGACTTTTAAAAGCTCCATTTGCTACACTGTATAAGTGTGGGGAAATTCACGTGTTTATTCTTTCTTTCTCCTATTTAAGAAAACCCTATGGCCATCTATTTTTGTTTGTCTTTCCTAAAACCAAGTTCTTAGATCAAGAAAACCAAGAGCAGGGTGGGCGGGAAGGCTTTCAAAGATGTGCGTGGCAGAGTAAGAAAATGAAAGAATATCAAGTCAAGGAACTCTTGCAGCTCATGACCTAATGCTGGCGACTTGTTGTTTATACCAAGAAAACCATGAACTCCTATGTATCAGCTGATGGCAAGGATGGCAACAGCATAGGAACAAAGGCTATCAAAGCAAACACATTCCCCTGAGATTCATTCCTTGCCAAAACAGCGTGTTCTTCAAAAAGCATAATATGCTGTTTCTCAAATGTCCCAATTCAATAAAATAACATTTTCATTAACTGAAACTCAGCACAGCTGTAAGGCATAGAGCTCTGAATCTTTGGGAATGACCCAATATTTGAGAAACTAAAACTGGCCAACATTTAATGGACTGTGTGTAATGGAAATAAAAACAATCACAACACCAAGGCAAGAAATTAAAAAAAAAAACATGGAAGGAAGATCAGGTAATCTTCCTTCCCATACTAATTTCAGCAGCTGGAGTTGTTCCAAAATCTTTGGCTAGCAATTTAAAGCAGTTGCCAATAGCTGCTAATTTGCTTCTTGAAATTAAAAAATCAGTGATTTTAAAAACATGTCATCTCATCTGGACATTTTTAGGATTTGACTTGTCCCTTTGGTCCACTGCCATGCATCAGCAATACTGAGAAATAATAACTGCAAAGTAATAATTATAAAAAATGTGCTGTCAAGTCAATTCTGAATTGTGGTTACTCTTGAGAGGGTTTCCTAGATGTGATGTTTTCAGAAGTGGTTTCCCATTCCCTTCTTCTGGTGGCACTCTAGGATTGTGCAGCTTCCCCAAGGCTACTTAGGTTGGCTCTTCTCCCAAGAGGGAAAGGAATCAAACTCTTAACACCTGATAGTACTCAAACTCACTTAGCTATCCAGCCAGAAAGAGACAAATTATCCTAACAGATATTAGTGGCAAGTTACTAAAAGTTAAGTGAATTCTTAACCACTTGGTAACTAAAAGTAAAAGAGGGAGATAATCTGTAATTATTATTTTGTGATTTCCAACATAATACTCTGTGGTTTTATACATTCTTTCTATTACATCAAAGGGAAAGGATGGTTCAACTCACTTCTTCACTTTTCAGAGCAGCTTGATCTGCAGAAAGAAGCTTATATCCATGTTCAAAATATCTTCATCTGCTAATATCTCCAATTCAAGCTGCTTTCAATATTGCAAGGCTAACTTTTGCTCTGGTTTCTTTTTCTGATCCCTGGCTATGCTATGACAAGCCAATGCATCTGAAATGAGGAAAGGAGACAGTTTTCCTGTGAGAGTTTGTAAAATATCATGCAGTGACTAAAAACTTATCACCTGTGCTAAACGTTGACAATGCAGAAGGTCAGAATGCAACAAAAAGAGAGAGGAGCTTTTCATAACCCAAACATACTTTAGGAAGAAAAATATATATCTTGCTACTCATGGGTCGTTTCACCAGAGCAGAGTTTGTTTCTATCAGTTTTGCTCCGTTCTTTTTGAAAAGACAAGAAAAGGATTCCAGTTGGGTAAGGATTATCATTAGATGTTGGCTTTCACTGTTCACCTCTTGAGACCCATCTGG